CTCTTTTCCGACAGAGACACAATTTAATATGGTAATATAAATTGAGGGTCTCAATAATGTGATGGCTTATTCTGATGACCATTGTATTTTTCAGAATAATTTTCATAGTTTATTATTTTTACAACCAACGGTTAAAATTTGTCAATTTTTGCGCCCAACGGTTTAACTATTGGTATTTTACGACTAACGGTCAACCCCATTGGAACCCTCCAAATTGTTCTTATTATCAAATGTACTAAAATGTGATTCAGGGGATATCCCGTTAAAGTCTTATTCAGGTACAGCAGTTCTTTAAAAAGATAATATTTTTCTTGCTAATTATGATATCGCTGTATCTTGTCGTTTTTAACTGCTCTGTGACCCTTTTCAACTCCATGGTGTCCAGCGAGAGAGACACGCGGCGGAGAACCCCTGAGGGTATTGCGAAAATCGAGTTACTGCTCCTGGGTAAATTACGAGATGGTTCAGCGCCTCAATTGATTTCAGTTGCTCTCGCGAATTCGATCCTCTTTACTCCCCGAGAGGAGACGACTGTACGCGCCGTGACGGTGAGCCGTGCGTGATGATAAAATTCAATTAGTGTCGGGAAAATTTTCAACACAAGAAAATACATGCTAATGATTCTCTTTGTTCAAGTTTCAAGTAAAGTGTACATCCAAAACGATCACCTTTAAAATTATACAAGTAAATGAGTCATCCGATGAGCTCCGCGGCTCTGTTTTTAATGCGTGCTCGCAAAGTTTCGTCACTTACGTTCTATAACGAAATAATCTATCAAGAAGGCGATTAAAATACCTCATTAATCAAATCTTTGCGCCAAACTGAGACATCGAAAGAAAAGTTTGAATGTGAATCTTACGCGTATCTTTTTCTTACTAGTTTTCATAGACATAACAAATCTCCACGCTATTTGACACATATGCCATGGCTTTCGATCAAAACGTGTCGAGTTTGGCTTTCCGTTGTGGCTATATGAAATCCGCTTCCATTTTAGATACTACCTCTAGATAGCTTTGTTGAAATTGAAATATCTCAAAACCTAGGCGAGAAGCCGCCATCTTTGTCCCTTCTTTTTTTCTTTATTTTACTTGCAGTTTTGTTAATACTGGAAGTACACCTTCAGAGAGTTGTCCCATGGTTTCACTCAAGTATACTCTTACAAGCTCCAAAAGGACATTACGTGAAACTGAATTTCACCATGGAGAGTTCATATCTAACACCCTGCATTGATGATAAGTACCTTGAGGTTCGTGATGGATACAACAAGTCTGCCAATCTTCTTGGTGTATTTTGTGGAAGGAACATCTCTGTTATTGTGCGATCCAGAGGACAGAACTTGTGGATCAGAAAATCAGCCCATAATTTTAGCAGGTTTCGGGGCTCGTACACCAACAAAACACTGAACTTTACAGGTATTGTCCTCTGAAATTACTAACTGAAACAATTCTAAGGTGTTTCTAAGTTGTTGTAACACGGATGGAATAGATGGCAATTACGAGTACTGCAACTCATTTGGTAATTTCATTTATTTGTTTTCTTCCAGTTGAACCCAACCTAAACAAGGTGGCCAAAACTCAATTTGTTATTTTCAACCAAACTTCAACCCTTTGGTGTCCAGCACAAGGTGCACCAGCACCATTTATAGTTTGGAGAAAGAACGGCATTGTGGTACAGAACAGTACAGGTGTCAAATATCAGCTTACCATTACTGAGGAGAACAATGACAAGTACAGCTGTGAAGTTAAGAAAGAGAATGGTTATGACAAGAAAGAAATCCGTCTTGTCATTGAAAGTGAGTTTTTTCACAAACGAATTAAGTGGGGTGAGTTTTTAAAGAAACTGTGGTGCCTCTTCAGTGGGGAGTATTACTGAGTATTACTGAGATGACTTGGTTTTGCTCTTCGCAGAGCGAAACCTTTCTCCCTGACGAAGGGCTAACCCTCCAAACGTCAGCTTTAAAAACCCTTTACGGTGAACAATTTTCATTGTCAACTCAGTTGATAAAACTAAACTATTAATTTACAAACAATTGATTCTCAAATCAGTCTGGCGTAGAGAAAAATATACTGCACATTTGCAAAGTTTGCCTAATTGCATAAAAAATGAGCAACTCTAAACGCTCTCTAAACTTTTAAGCTGAAGGACTGCCGCAATAGTTTTACTGACTAGGAGCCAATGTATGAAGCGTTCACGAGATAACTAGATGGCAGGTATCATTTCAGAGTACTCCAATGCACACACTCAGAGAGTACCACCAAAGACCCTCACAACAAAGAAACGTTAGTACATTCATATCGTCTCGCTTTATTCAAGGGTGCCCAAATACCTGTCGATGTACAATTGCAGTTGGAATCATGGACGCAGCTACTTGCATTGAATGTCGAGGAAAACACTTACAGACAGTTCCACGGCACTTACCCTTTTCTACAGCGAAATTGTAAGCGTTTCAACTCTTCTACTTTCTCTAGGCGGGGGTGTGGGGATGGGAAATAATAAAAAGCAATGCACAAGACGTAAGATGTTCAATCTAACCCTATAAAAATAACCCCAATTTTAAAGAAAAAAAACCAAATAGAGCAGCCATCACCTGAAGACTTCCATAACAACTCGCCTTTGGTCGTACTGTAAGAGACTAATGTTATACTTTTGTCGCTATTGGCGATTGATGTGCTAAGAGGTAACACTGTTTACCGATACAGGGGTGATATTGTCTTATGTGATGGTTTGAAATAGTTTTAATACTTTCAGGTGGTTACAAAATAACAAGATCAAGAAGCTGCGAGGTGACTCGTTTTCTCAGTTAGTCAGGCTGCGAGAGCTGTAAGTGAAACGTAGCATTATTATATCGGTTATTTTACATGTTTAGGTTTACGATGTGGAATCCATCCTGCAGATACTAAGACACTTCCATATCCGCATTGCACACAAACCAATCACAGGGGAGCCATATTGTTAACTACTAACTCAGTCAGTCAGCTTTTTTCACAAAAAACTAGTTAAGGTAATTTTTTGCCATCTTTTCTCCCTGAGAGTTAAGCAAGTTGGTAACTTTCATCAGATTTAGTCCACTGCTAGTAAGACAAAGTGTTTCTTTATACTGCAAACTGGTTAATTGACTGATGTACAAGTTCTCTTCGAAAAGCTCTAAAGCAACAAAATAAATCAAACGCAAAACTACCTGAAAAGTAAAGATAAAATTGGAAAAATATAGCAGAAATAGCCGAGAAAACGTTGAAAAATCAGTTTACATTATACGTGAATCTTGTCGTAGAATCTTAAATGGAAACCAGATAGAGAGGCTACCAACTGAAGTCTTCAAAAACAACTCCGAGTTGGCCTTCTTGTAAGTAACCAGTAAACGTTTAATGTATTATTGGTTTGGTCTCGATTCAACCGCCATTTGCGTAGATTTATGTCATTTACTAACTTTGAAAGGAAAGGTTTTCTAGCCGAATGGTTTTTGTTATCTGACTGGAGGGCATTTCAAAAATGCCCAACTAAAATCCATGATATATCCTTTTTGTAGGAGCTTAGCAGGGAACCAGATAGAGGAGCTACCAGCGGGAGTTTTCAGTAAAAACAACAAGTTGCTCAACTTGTGAGTAGGAAGACTAAAAGTTCATAGTCTACTTACATATTTTTACTGTCATATCCTTCTCCAAATCCTCTTTAATTCTCAAATACTCAAATACTATTGTACGCTACGGATGAGTCCAGCCACAATCGTGTTGAGAGAGGAACCTTACCTTTCAGTTCATTTTCTAGAGTACCATAATATATATATATGTCAGCGACTGGAGAAGGTTCCATCACTTTAATATCCCTCGGCGACGTGTACGAAACAAGTTAAGTGGCGATCTCTGTAAGAGCGGTCCAGGGCATTTCGCATCGGAAAAAAGTTTTCCCTCAAACTTTGCCCAATAAACTATCTTTGGTAACAAGTAAATAAAACCACATTAGTTTCTGGAAATACGTTAAAATAAAATTTTTAGAGCTCTCAAAAGTCAAAGCTGCAAAAGGCCCTTTTTTGACCTTGTGCGATATCGAAATTTTAAAAAGTTGAATAGCCCGGTTCTCGTATCACACCGCATGCAGCAAAAAATATTTTGTATTCTTAAAGTGTGTGATATATAAGGTATATAAAATTCATTTCAATTTTGATATTCGTTTATTCAGAGGCTCGTCATAATTTATTTAAAAACACTCGTTGGACAGCTTTCTGAAATTGGTTAAAAGTACTCTTTCTTTCTTGGTTGATATTGCTCAAGTCCAGACCAGACCATTAAAAACTCCGCTTGATTTCTGCTAATAAGATGTTTGGCTGCAGAAAAATATAAAAACATCTAGCACTTATTGATTTTCTTCGCCGAGGTGACTTGGAACTTTTAGCGATATTGCTAGCGTGACAGCCGATTATGCAAATTAGTTCATTGAGCAAGCTCCGACCGTTTTATGTGAGTAGCTCAATGAATCTTAGATTTTAACCATTTTAAGTAGAAAATATAATAGGAAAGAGCTTTAGGACCACACCGATTAATACTTTAAGCATTTTAAAAGGCCAAAATTTGACAAATTTTATTATCTCGTGACGAAAGACGTCATCAACAACGTATCGAATATCATAATTTGATTAGCGCTGGCAAACTCTTTTTTAAAAATTTGGCTTCTGTTTCATATTTGAGTTCTGATGGCTTACGCTATTGTCAAATTTTGGCCTCTTAAATATTCGGTTTCCCTAGAGGAGGTAAATATTCTAGGTTTACCTAGAGGAGCTAGGTTATGTCTACCTAGATTCCATCGCGCATTAAGAGTATTGAAACACGTTATGCGTTCTTCTGTGATCGTATGACGCAGTTTTATTAAGAATTACAGATTTTTAGGCCGAAACAAGAAAAAAATGTGGCCTGGTAAATCATTTGCCGAATTGCTAAACCTGCACTGGCTGTAAGTGAAGAGTGGTTGTTTTATATTAACTATTGCGTGATCGTGTCGCAACGAATAATAATGTCGATAATAGTGTAAAATACAAACTGATTACTGTACAAGGACCCACCCAAACGTAGTAATAGACATGTGTGCGGATTGTTTACATGTTCAAACTCTCCGAATATCGACGCTCGTACATCAGCGATATTGGTAGCAACCTCAAAACAAGTTCTATTGAAACCATACGAGCACTTACAAATGGTGATGTCAGTAACTGTTCAACCTAAATCCAGGACATATCCCCATTTTAGGGACTTAGACAACAACCAAATAGAGGAGCTACCACCTAAAGTCTTTCATAACAACTCGCAGTTGGTCATTCTGTAAGTAACCAATCTTAATGCCTTTGTTTCTATTGGTGCTTGATGTGCTAAGAATTATTAAATACGTAACCCGTAGTGTATGTAGCCAACCAAAACACTGCAATTTTCAAACAAAACCACCAAGTTAGGTTGTTGGTCTTAGCTTTTACGACTATATATTCTATTTTTCTGAGTTTATTTGTTTTATTTGCATATGGAAGATTTCCTGTATGGCCAGTGCTCGAAGGGGGCTGGAAGAACATATAACGCGATCGACTTGAAGTTTTCTCTATTACATCTTAGCCTTGATGTGATGGTTTGAGACATTTTTAATACAAAAATGCCCAACTAAAATCCATCATGTACCCTTTTTGTAGGAGCTTAGGAGGGAACCAGATAGAGAAGCTACCAGCGGGAGTCTTCAGTAACAACAACGAGTTGCTCAACCTGTGAGTAGGAAGACTAAAAGTTCATAGTCGACCTACATATTTTTACTGTCATATCCTTCTCCAAATTCTTGTTAATTCTAAAATACTCAATACTGTTGTACGCTACTGATGAGTCCAGCCACAATCGTGTTGAGAGAGGAACCTTACCTTTTAGTTCATTTTCTAGAGTACCACAATATATATTTGTCAGCTACTGGAGAAGGTTCCACCGCCCTAATAGGGACCTTTAGCAAACCACGACTCCGATGGCAACAAGGACGTGGCAAAAAAAAAAGGTGTAACGAGCAGAGATTTTTAAAACTGTGCACATTTTCTTAGCCTTCCTATGCAAAACAACAACGTGAAATCACCACAATTTGCGTCGTCTGCGAGCCAAAACCGCGACAGCAAATTGTTTCTAGTTCTATTTGGAACTCAACGCTTCTTTTATACGTTATGCTGAAGTTGAGGTGTGACACCGCATGAGACGGTAAACACATGCAGCCATTTTTTAAATTCTAATTGAAGATAGAAATTTGCTTTTTAATCGAAGTATTCCTTGGTGTTGCCGTCCTGACTGCTTAAGGTCTCTAATATCCCTCGGGGACGTGAACGAAACAAGTTAAATATTCGGTATACCCCTCTTGAGAGGAGCTAGGTTTACTACTAACTCAGTCGGTCAACTTTTCCCTTGAAAAGTAATTTTTTCGGCATCTTTTCTCCCTGAGAGTTAAGCAATAATAACTTTCATCAGATTTAGGCCGGTGCTATTCAGAGAAATCAGTACTTTTAATACTGCAAACATGTTAACTGACTGATGTATAATTTCTCACCGGAAATTTCCAAAGTAACGAAATTAATCCAACGCAAAACTACCAGAAAAATGATGATAAAATGGCAGAAACAGCAACGAAAACGTTGAAAACATTGTTTCTAAGTTCAGTCCTTGAGGACTGAGACTGAACCTTACTTATGTTGATATAAATCAATTTGTTCAATCACGTTCAAGATTATATTAAAAGCGTTTGTTTGACCCGGACACGGCACAAATAAACTGTATTCCGACCGGAAAATGTACGCAACAGCAGCAACACACAAGAGGTAGTATAATTTTAACTTAAGTCATGGAATATCTCTTCTTAGGTCCTTGGGTTATAACCAGATAAAGGAGCTACCACCTGGAGTCTTCAGTAATAACACTAAGTTGATCGAACTGTAAGTAACAAATATGTACGCCCATTCTATATTTTAACCTTCGATGTGCTAAGAGTGTGTAATGTGTAAGTGTTTACTTAATATAATCAAGACCCTCCTCAAGCTTAGTGATTTCAACGCCTATTTTTGATATTAACCTTCGATAGGATACGACTGTAATGTCAGTGTTTACTTAATATGATAAAGACAGTCCTCAAGCTGAGTGGGTGTAGTCAACCATGAAGAGAACCGAAAGAGAGTAGGGCTGTTTGTATTTGGACAGTTTAATTAATGATTATTTCCTGGCATATGTCGGTGGTCCTTGTTTCGTAAATCCTATTTTATATTCCCTTACTAACGATGTTTTATCAGTTTGTATAAGCGTGGCCAGTATGTACCTCACAAAAGAACAGGTCTCGCACTCTGCATTTCTTTTTTACACCAGTACTGCAATCGAACGTGAATAGGATTTATACATTTTCACGTATTGGTGATGCAAAGTTTCCAAAACTTACAGGTGGTTAAACGGCAACAAGTTGAAGAATTTGCCAGGCGACTTATTTTCCCAATTAGTCAAGCTGCGGTGGCTGTAAGTGAAAAGTCTTCCTTACATATAAACTATTTCAAGTGTCACAAGACTCCATTTCAATTAGTTGCTGATTAACATAATACTGATCGTATTTGGACAGAGAGAGAGAGATTTTGCTCAAGTTTGAGCGGTCTTCTCAAAAGGAGAGAACTCCGGGAAAAAGTTTGAAGTTAATTCCCGTCGATAGACGTATTTTGCGAACATTTTGGGTCTTTCAAAAATTGAGACGTTTTACTAGATTTTTGTTCAATCAAGGGACTTCACTTCTCTATTCGAATAATATTTATACTTTATGCACTACTCTTAACTCAGTCGCTTA